TACGTGAGGCACGGGAATGGAAAACTGCTTGGTTTTGTTTATTTTCAGGGATAGCGGAAGGAGAAGAAAGGGTTACCTAGACTGAGGTGGGTGGCTGGGTGGGGTATGTGTTTGTGTGTGTGGTGGGTGGGTGGGTGGGTGGGGGGGGGGGTTGGGCATCTGCTCGTAGCGTCCCACCTGAGTCCTCCATTACAAGAGTAACAGTTGATAATGTCTGTGTGTTATGATTGACGGCAGAGAGACGTGGTTGATAGTGGTAAATATATTAACAAGTTTGACCAGTCTAAATTTAGGCCTGTATGCCACAGAAAGCTCATGGAGAAAAGACATCTAAAACAGTAATCCCGTTGTCCACATTGTCTTAAATGAAAGTCCAATTGCACTGTATCCTTCGCCCTATATCCCAATGTAAAAGCAAATGTACTTAGCACCCTTCTATAACCACAAATATGTTTTTATGCCGGAGGACCGCAGGATTTTTTTCTCACAGAATTGACAGAACCCATTTCATTCAAAAGTCAACACATTCACGGGGTCAAAAGAGTTCAAATACCGAGGTCACGTGACTGCTGCAGACGACAGGTTTCAAGGAACAGTTAAATGTTTTATCTCGAAGTCAGCACAAAACGTGGGCCTCGGGTCTCACGACTCACCTGGTGGCTATCTCGTTAACGTGTGAACGTTGTTTTTTCTCACAATTATTAGTCGTGAGGCCCAGGGCTCTGTTTTGACAGCTATGGCCATATTGGTTCTGGCCAGATGGGCTATGGTACTGGCTCAGCGGAGATGCTGAACAGAAATACTTTTTGTAAGGATTTGTGGTCTCAAAATGACTAAATATAAAAAAGTATTTGGGCTGTTGAAATTGAATGTTTATTCTCAAAAATGAACTACAGTCGCTCAATAAATACATAAATAAATGAACAAATAAATAGATAAAACAAAATAAAATTAATTAAAAAATAAATAAAAAGGGAAGAGAACATAAAAACCGGTTTATAGCTCGTGATTTTGTCAACGGTTTCAATTATTGTATTCTTTTGTGATAAAGGTAAAGCACTGGAATTTCAAGGAAAATTAACTTTTTATTGCCCATTGTGTGACTATAAGACGGTGTCAAATGATCAGCCGTCCTAGCGTTTCTCATAGTTAGTCGTGTGGCCTACAGCAGTCTTCTGACAGAGATGGTCTCTCTTACAACGGTCATCGTGTCCAAGTATATTGTCCTTGTTTACTAACATGAGACTGACAAGAGAAGGCATATGAATAGAAACCAATTTCAAATAAATAGTTAGAGAAATTAGAAATGACAGTGTCCAAAGTCATAGCCAATTAGGTTATCTGTGAAAAAAAATGTTGGTAATTGAAATGGTTTTACATTGTCCCCTTCAGGCATAACATAAAGGGCACAAGACATGAGGAAAAGAAAGAAAAAAAATCAAAATATCTTATTTAAAGACTTGTCTTGTTAGAATCAGGTCCTTCTTAGACGACCACAAACTGCGTCTTCGGGGGGGGGGGGGGGGGGGGGCGGTCTTCAGCGTTTAAAGCAGTCACTCCCCTCCCCCCTCCCCCGCGTGATTTTGAGTTTGTAGTCATATTGTTCCGTGTGGACTCGAATAAAGTCAAAAATACTTCTCTCGGTGGACATTTGACAATTTTCACCAAATTTCTCATCTTGATCACCTTTGGCTTTTGCTTATTTACGTTTGTTTTAGTTTGTGTAGTTGCGCATGTGTATGTTGGAGCGCGTGAAAAGTAACGTGCACGTGCATGCGCACAATGTAACTGTGCTGTGATAACGCGAAGACAAGCTTAGCAATATAACTGAACAGGGTTTGTATTTTTAAGCTTCATACAGCGCTGTGTTGGAAATGTGCGCATGTATGCTAGTGCGTACAAACACGTGAGTAAGTCAGTATTAAAGTAATCACGGTTTCTTTTCTAAGCACATATTAATAATCATTCACTGGTAAAGCAACATTCGCTTACGTGGTGCATGCGCGCGTTTGCACATCTATACACATGGGTTTTCAAGAAAGCCTAAGTTATACATATGTGTACGCGCGTGTGTGCGTGCGCGTGCAGATGCGATAACGCCTCTTAAAGTGCGATATACCTTTGGCCTTAAAAGTCTCCTAAAAGGCAATGCCCTGCTTTAAGATTTTTAGCAAAAATCGCTCTGCTTCAAGCCTCAGGCTTCTTAACGGATGTCAGCAGTCCCCCGTCTTGGCAAATGTCCTGTTCCTAGCCGCGGGTGTTTGAAGGCGGCTGCCTGAAGACCACGAGGAGGCACGTGAGAATGAAGAAGACACCGTTTTCCCACGTAGTCTAGCAGCGTACAGGTATGCGAGACCGATTAATACCGTGACTTCATAATTACGAGCTGTAAAAAACGTTTTCGGCACATTTTGATGGATAGTAGAGGTATGTGGAAGCGTTCGCTGAGTCTCTCTACTGTTCTATACCTTAGTCAGATTTTGACGTCGTTATAGAGTTACAAGGTTATCATACGGTGGAATGGACTCCAGAAAGGTAAGTTGTCGCTCTTATTGATCAAAAATCGATAACTGTTACCGTGTTTTTGTGATTCCATAAACGAGGTTACAGCTGAATATTCTTACCTGGAGAAAAGTCTAGCCAATGCAGCGTTTAAAACAAAATATTTGGTCTAAATTTTAAAATAGCATAGGCTTGATTGCAATCCACATTGTGTTGTCAGAGTTAACATAGCACAGATTGAAAGTGATTGGCTCCTCATGGAGTTAAGGGTAAATCTATTTTTGTAAATACAATCTCAAAACTTACAAATGTTATTTATCGATGATTGAGTATACCGCACTCGTCAGTCATCCACGAAATTTTCAAAACGAAACCGAAACCGCTGTGTGATACTATCGTGGCCGGGCAGTGTGAGGGGGGCAGGACACGTGTATATGCATACCTGAGTATAAATACATTATGCCTTTACTCTGGACTGAAGTGGGTGGCATTCTCCACGTGTTTGGGTCCGAAGTTCTTTGTAACATTTTCTGATGTCTATTCATCTTAACCGCAGTTTAACTACAGTCTCTATTTGATACCTTGTACTTTCAATAAAGAACATCCACACAGGTGGATGTAGAGAGGAATCCTTTTCAAAGAACGCAAAGAATTTTCTTGTTGAACTTAAACAATTTATTTTATGAAAGGGATACTAGAAAAACGAAACCAGGTAGCCTGTATGCTTAGAAGCCTACTTCATAGAAAGTTAGTACAAAGTAGGTAATTACAGCGTGGTCGCCCTTTGTTCGTCTGGATCACGACTCTGACTGAAGACATCTTGATGGTCTGTTAATAAAACATGGAGATATTTAACCTCTAAATAGCGTTCTCATTAAGACTTGATGGGTTTGAAATATCACCCCACGCACCTGCGTCCTCCATCCGTCATCCTACGCGTGGTTAATAACTCATTTTTTTCATACTTAACGGAGGCCATATGAGGGGGGTAACGATATCTTTGTATATGGGGGTTGTCTACTGCAGACAGTAAATAAAATCTCTCAGTCTTACATGGACGTATAAGAGGTGCCATCCACACTTTTCCTTTTGGAACATTTCTGATAGTTTTGTGTCAAATGCAGAAACACTTGGACTTGTCCGAGTACCCCTACCCCCCCCCCCCCC